AAACAAAACACAGGAAGAATCTGAGTTTTCAGCCAACCTTTTGTAGAATATCTTGTCTGTTCAGCACCAGTCAGCAGCTTCAGCCTTCCAAGGTTGGAACAAGGTGCTGAACAGCTCTGAGATCACTGCTTATATTCTGTCTCTTTGTAGTTTCAAAACAGGGAACTAACATTGAAAAAAAAAATGACACGTGTATTATGTGATTCATGCTGGTCAGACTTTTACTGCACTTCTTTCTTTCTCAACCAAAACCAAAATTATTGCCAAATGCTGATTACTTCTTCCAGCTGCCAACTTAATTTTACAAACTGACTAGTCAACAACTGGTCAACCCTCCATAGTATAAATGGAGAACATTTTATATATTTAACAAAGTATTTTCAGGAAAGAAAGGAGAAGCTGAGTTCATGGACATTAAATAATCAGCGTTATTATGAAGATCTAAAATAATTTCTGACGTTTTGCTCTCACAGTAATCGTGATGAGAATGTTTCTTCAGTAGACCAATTCTTGCCAGTTCGTTCCTTAGCATTTCTGGAAAAGACATGCAATAAGAAAAAGATAAAATGAGACCAGTGCCTCATCTGATAAGAGATGTCTTGTATCTTTGACAGGCATTCACCAGAAAACTTTTATAGAGAAAGATCTGTCACAGTACTGGGTCTGTGTGCTGCGTTTTTGATCAGTTATGTTCTTGGATTTGTTGTTTTTCATGGTTTTGAGTCACTTTATTGTTTTCTGCTTGTGTCAAATTCAGAGATGGGCAGTAAAAGTAATGCGTTATTGTAATTTGATTACTTTTTTCAAGTAATCAGTAAAGTAACAGGACTACTTTTTCAAGTAACTTGACCAACACTGGTTATGTTCTTACTTTTTAGTTGTTAGCTTTATGTAACTTTGCCCTCCCCCGTTCCACGTCTCACGTCTAGTTACTCTTCTCTCTGTGCTCCATGTTTGCTTGGTCTTCAACCCGTTTTCACTCCCGACTATAGCGACGATTTGTCACGTCCCTAAAATTCTCATGCTAACGCAAAAGGTACCCTTCCACGTTTTTCTCAGTTCACTCCAATGTGAACCCGCTCGCGGCAATAAGAGACGCTTCGAGCAGAGGCTCCAGCCATCCATTTACTCCAATAATAACCCCGTCACGGCGAAACATGATGCCGTGAAGTACAATCTAACTGGAGAACCGAGAACCCTCTCCCCCGACGTGTTTTTCTCCCTAATGTAAGGCTTTCTTTGTTTTGTTTTTTTGTTTTTTTTCCCTGTCCCGTTTGGATCTTTAGCATCCATCCAAGGAAGGAAGTCAGGAAGTCTCCTCTCTTCAGGAACTCACTCTGCAGGAGGGGGAGATACCGGAGAGGTGGAGGAAGATCTCAGCCTGGGTGTCTATTGTCTTGTGTAGTTTGGAAGATGAATGCATGACGGGATGGGTGCAGTTTTCTATGTGGTGGGGTCAGGTGGGCTGTCCCGGGCTCTGTGGGGCCAGGCGGCGCTGCTGTTCTGGGCCCCGGTCCGAATGGGCCTGGGCCCCCTTTCCCTGGCGGGTTGCAGAGTGTGGGGATGCCTACTGGGGTCAGCGGGGGAGCTGGCCCCAGGGAGGGGTCACTTGCCCCTCCCTTCCTTCCCTCATCTCCAGCTGCCTCCCTCTTCCCGCTCCACCACAATCATCCACACATGCAGGGCCTTGGGGTAAAGGTGTGTCACCAGGGTTCAGGGGAGGCATCCCCCCCTCTGTCCCCTTCTGGCTGCCTGTGCCTCAATTTTATCTCACAACTTAGACACTCACATTACTCACA